ATGGATTGCTGAAGTCCTACATTGGAATATGGAATTGTTTGCAACTGTTAACACAGTTTGAGAGCTTTTTCTCTGGTTTAATTCTCAGTACCAGAGTTAAATGGTTCTGAAAAGTTTATTTGCAGCATCTTTGTGGGCTATTTGGAAGGAAACAAATGCTAGATTACATTTGGATGTTTGCACTCTTTCTAATTCAGTGGCCACACACATGTTTTTTGATATTGTGATAGTACAAAATGCTAGTTAACAAGATATTACTATATAAATTGTGGTTTTTTGTTGCTGTGTTTTGTTTGTGCTTTGCTGAGGTGGACATTGTAGGGGACCTTACTTTTTGCTGCTGTTTTGTTACCATGAACTGATTATAAGGCTTTATAAGTAAAATTTATGAGAATGTTAGTAAAAAGTTGTGATGGTTTATTAATAAAGATGTTTACACTTATTTTTGAAAAGTTATATTTTTCAATTGAAGTATGTTTGGATATATTTTGTATGACATGTTCGCATTAGTGGTGCAACATATTGGAAAAGTGTATGAATGTATGGATATGCATTATATTACTCTATCTGTTAAAATCAGGTGAAGATGTTAGGTTAAAGATGTAATGTTTTATTTATTAAACCGTTGACACTTCTGATGTTTTGTTACCATGAACTGATTACAGGGGTCTGTATGAACTGATGTTATTTTTTGATTCATTGGTTTGCTATTTTACTTTCCATTTGACAGCTTCATTTTTCATTTCATATTTCTAAAAAACAACAATCACAAATTCTTTCAACATTAATGTATTATGAATTGCATAGTACATCAACAAACCTTCCTAACATGTGTATCTGTATTATACTTCTTATTGCAATAAATAAGATACACTTCATTTTTTTTCATAAATAACAACCACAAATTCTTTGAACATTAATGTATTATGAATCATGTGTATTTACAGTTATACAACTAAAATTAACACAATGTGAATTTCTAGTTCTACAAATAAAATAAATAACACTAATTTAATCAATGCAATTGTGGATATAAATTCAACAGCTTAAGGAATATTTACCTATACATCATGAAGACTGTGGCAGGCGGTTTCACTAATCTCTGCTCTCCACCTGCAATATCTTCTTTGTTCTTTGTTTTAGATACCAATCTTTTCCAATTTCTTCTTCGCCATAGTTTTTTTCCTCGCCATTATATTTCCCCAAATGCTTAAAACACTCGCAAAATCACAGTATAAAACCCTCGTAAAATCATAATCTTTGACGGAATAAGATGCAACAACACCAACTGAACAACAACAACTGCTATTAAACAAACGAAAGGGAAGACGGACAAACAAAAATACGATACCACCTCGGAGAGAAAACGAGACAAACCAGAGGACGGAAGGAGGATGAAGGAGGGAAGACAAGGTGAACCAAGAACAAGATAACAGAAGCTGAGGAAGAAAAGTCAATGACCAAAGGGAAGCTGCCGGCACACTGTTCGGACGGAAAACCAGAGGACGACGAAGGAAGAAGAACAGAAGCCTCGAAGAAGAAGAAGAAGAATACAAAGAGAATAGAAGAAGACAAAGTAAAAAGTGTAATTTGGGCCCACATATAATTTTGGTATATTGTATTCGTATATGTTATGTATGTATTTTGTCTGCAGTATTTGTGCATAGTAAAAAAAAGTAAGGTTAAAAACTTAATGCTGACATGGTGCTTCATCATTGCTGACAAGGCAATGACATAGCAAGATGGGCTGATGTGTCTTCGTCCTAGCCCTTGGATCTGCTATGGACACCCTCCAGTGAGAGGTGCCATGGAGAGGATTATAGCCCCATAAACTTAGTGTGGAGGGAAAAATCCCCCTCCAATAAGAGTCATCCACGTAGCCACAATAGAGAGTTACACTTTTAAATCTTTTGATAGGTTGCAGAAGCCCACCCCTGTTCAAGCCCAAGTAAAGGCACTATCAGCCCAAGGTCGCCAATGTTGACCTTGCAGCCCGTTAACAAGATTAGCCGGTCCAAGTTGTATTTGGCCCAAATTTAGTAAAGATAGAAGATCCTACGTAGAAGGAAAGTTCTATACAAGGAAAGTCTGGCACGGAAAGAATTATGAAAATGAAGGAACTTAATCTGTAAAGAATGATGTATATGGAATGAATTGGAAAACAAGCAAGGCGAGTCCTATCATAATTCCACCATCTTTTTGTATATAAATACAGGTTTAGTCCTCAAATAAAGATCATCGAGCAATATACACTTTTCTCTAATTAATTCTTGTTAATAGTTATTTTTCTTGGGTGAGTTGTAGTATTTCTTTAATTCCTTTTGTGAAGAAAAATTTTGCACCTACACTTAGGGTAGATGAACTTTGCTCCAAGTCATCTACAATGGAGGGAATTGAGTGTTGCTGGCAATGAATGATGGGGGCAATTCCCAGTCTTGAATTACCCTAGTCGACACAGCAGACGGCTTCCGCCTTGTAGATTTTTATGTTAGATTATAAAAGTATTATAATATTCTTTAGGTAAAATGTAAAAAACTTCCTGAACTATTGGCCTATTGCAATTAACCCTTTGAATTACAAAAAAAACTCCCGAACTATTAATTTGTTGCGTGTCCTCACTAAAAAATAAAAAGACAATTTTACCCTCATTCAAAACGATGTGGTTTTGGAATTATAAACTTAAGTCGATTATGTCGAAGGTAGCAATCTCTAGGGCCAATCAAAAGGTGACAACTCACTTAATCACATTGTATTATTATTTTTAATATAATCAGAGAGAGAGAGAGAGACGTAGAGGGGTAGTTGAAGAAATATAAGGCAATTGGAGTCTGTGAAGGCTCTTGGCATAACGACACCCCGGTGTGATTCTACTATTTTCTTCTTCTCCACATGCACACTCTCTTGAATCTATGTCTAACCTCTTCTCTTTCACTGTATATATTTTCTCCGAAAAATGTCTGCTGAGAATAGGGGTTGGAGCAATGTCACTTTTTGGTACTGAATTGAAGTGGTTTTGGGGGCGATTTCTTATGATTTGAAGGAATCAAAGGGATGATTTCTTTGATTTCTTATGTTTGTATATCAATGTTTGGAAAAATTCTCATGAAAACCTGGTTAATCACAAAGAGGGGAAGAGGTACAGATACATTTATAGATGTGTATAAATGTATAATTTATAGGCATATAGAGAGGAGACACAGACTTAGTCTAGGGCACGAATATATATATATATGCACAGAGAGTGAGAGAGATGTAACCCTAAACGCAGTGTGTAACCACAACCACAACCCCAATTACCATTGACACCAACACGTTTTATCCCAATTGCGGGAACTGCTGTGCTTGACTAAGCTCGCTGGAACTGTATCAAGCACGAAAAGATACACGGGCCGTGACATGTAGGAGTAAAGGCATCGAGGTTGTTGGGGTTCAGGAGCAGAACATATATATGTGTGTGTTTGTGTGTGTATATATGTGTGAGGTAGCAGCGATGGTTGTGGCGGGAGTAGAGTGGTGGCAGTGGGTTTGATCATGTGTGGTTATGAATTTTTTAGTTTTTAGGGAATGCCGTGGTTGATGAGGGTGGCGGTGGGTGGTGACAATGGGTTTTGTGGGTATGGTTTGATGGTGGGACGTCTTGCTAGCGTTGCCGCTGACGACTGAGAGAGATGGTTTAGTCGAGCCAGAGAGAGAAAGGGTTTGGGTATTTGGCAGTGTTTAGTTGTGGATAATAAAGGTATTATTGTCCTTTAACATTTGTAAGGGTATTATCGCCCATCAATTTTATATTGCAAGTCATGTGACAAACAAGTGCTTTAGTTCTATCAAATTCCAATTGGTGAAAGAAATCAAGTTTGAAAACTTAATTGATAGATATTGCTAGTCATGTGACAAACAAGTGCTTTAGTTTTATCAAATTCCAATTGGTGGAAGAAATCAAGTTTGAAAACTTAATTGAAAGAAAAAGAAAAAAAAGAAATCCCCCCGTGGGTCCCATAAAAAAAAATTCAACCTTTTTAAATTTTTTTTTCCACCACAATATATATATATATATATATATATATATATATATAATAAAAAAGGTTGATTTTTTTTTTGTGGGACCCACTTCCCATTTATCTTTCTAAAAGGCGAAGAGGTCACTTTCTAGCCTCTTTTATCTCTCTCACTCTCGGCACCTGATATAAATCATAAACATTACAAGTTCAAAGTAATAAAAGTTAAGCACTCTATCTATATGTAATTTGTCCAAACCTTGGGAAAGGTTAGTGTAATTTAACCTAGCACTGCTTACTTAATGTCTTGTATTATTGCAAAGGAGTTTTTCAAATGAACTTTTAAGAATCGGTTGATTTTTTAAGTTGTTATTATTTACTATCTAATTTGTATTTGCTAGTTTAAACTAATTCTTAATTATCTATTTTGGTATTTTGGAATTATACCATTTTAAAAATGATATTTTGATATTTTAAAATAAGAGTTTGGAAGTTATTTTAGACGTTAATAATAATTCTTGATGTATTTATAGTTATTTTATTTAATTCAATCGAAATGAAAATGTAATTCTGAAATATTCTATCCCCATGTATCTTTCCGGTAATTTTTTTTTTTTTTTTTGGTGGGATCGAAATACATATTTAAATCTATCTTCTTAAATTAAAAGGGGAAAAAGACAAAAAAAAAATACAAATATATAAAATAAAAAATAGAAAACACTAATATATATATATATATATATATATGCTAGCAAAGCAGGAGAGTCAACAGGGGCATACCCTGGCATTCTACCAAGTAGGCTACAAGGTAAAATCCAAATAGAAACACACTTTCAAAGATCGCATATAACTATTTCTTTAAGAATAATTATAAAAGAATTTTTGCTACTATGAAAACAAACACATGTTTTGTCTTGATGTTTATAATGGATGGGATATTTTCGCGCGAAAATCATGTCTGCTTTATGTATATTCTACTGTAAAGGAAAAGTTATAGGAAACTCTCCCTTCATCTCTCTCTCTCTCTACATATATATATGATTCTACCGTGAAGGAAAAGTTATAGGAAACTCTCCCTCCATCTCTCTGTCTCTCTATATATATACAGTATATGCTTATGAGCATATGTATTTCCCGGACTTTTTCGTACCCATATAACATTCGGGAAATTGCGCGGTGGTTTCCTTAACTGAAAATGGTTAATAGTTACTACCGGACGGACGTTGGTTGCATTATATATATGTTGTGTACGGACGTACGTACTACATCAAAACTGAAACCACATAAAAGGGACCTCTCTCTCGCTCCTACTGTGTTAAAGGAAGAATACTACTTACTAGTAGTAGCAATTAGTAAGGTATGACTCTTCTTCTTCATCACCATGCATATGCATCATCATAATACATATATATATATTACTCGTAGTTATCAAAACATGCACGATTAAACCATCAATAACCATATTGTTATATATTATTGCATGCTCATTTTAATTAACGACATGATGATGATGGCATTGCAAACTTTATAATGTTATTATCTTTTGTGCATTGACAATTTATTGTTTCTCTAACCTCTATGGCTCTATGTAACAGTACTTCTTAATCATATATCCATGACAGTTTTCTATGTAACAGCCTCTTTGTGCTTTATATATATATTTGGAAATAGGAAATTGTAATGTAAAAAATGTATTAAATGGCATGGAAAAGGAATCACTTAATTAGACGTACAACTATATTTAGAAATTGTATTAATCTGTTTTTTTTTTTTTTTTTTGTTGGTGCCTGTGGTTTTTTTGATGCTTGAGGAACTCATGCAAACTGTTTGTGAAAATGAGTGAGAGAGGCCTTAATAGAAATTACACAAGATTGATTATATCAGGCCTCTACATTTGGTTTGGTTAAGTTTTCTGTTTGTTTGTAATACTCATATTCCATTTCTTCTGAAATTATGTGTTTTGTAACGAAGCCAGAGAACTAATGTGGATGGCAATAAAATTTCTCCTCTTCGCACTCTGCTTATTGGACTCGACATGGACCTTCGCTTTTAATGTTTCCTCTGATGGGTTAGTGAGAATTGGTCTAAAGAGGAGGACTTTGAACCTCAACAGTATAAATGCTGCAAGAATCACCAGAGGAGAGGTTACCTATGCCAAAGGTCTAGGAAATATCACTAGAAATTTGGATGATCCAAAAGACAGAGTTGTGTATCTCAAGAATTATCTTGACACCCAATATTACGGAGAGATTGGTGTTGGTTCACCCCCACAGTACTTCTCTGTCATCTTTGACACTGGCAGTTCCAATCTTTGGGTCCCATCTTCAAAATGCTACCTTTCTGTAAGTTCTACTGTGAATACAGCTTGTTGAAATGCTCTTTAAAAAAAATGGATTCAGTTCTTCCAAATGATACTTTTCTGCAAGTTCTACTGTAAATACAAATTGTTGAAACGCTCTTTTGGTATATAGATTTAATTTTAGAGCATAACTCCTTGCAGATTTCTTGCTATATGCATTCTAAGTACAGGTCAAGGCTGTCCCAAACATATACAAGAATTGGTAAATTGCCTGTGCGACTTTTAAGTACCCTTTGATCTTTTCATGAGCAATACGTGGCTCTATATAATATTCTTGAAGACATTTTTGTTGTAATCGTAAAGAGGTTTCTGTTCCATTCTGATATAGGCAGATCTTGCAAAATTCATTATGGTTCCAGATCAGTGTATGGCTTCTTCAGCCAAGATAATATGAAAGTTGGGGACATTGTCATCAAAGATCAGGTGCGCGCGTGCTTGTTTGTATTGAGTTTATATTCCTTATGTATTTGTATCATGCCAGCAGTGGGTTCATGACATTTGTAATCCTTCAGGTGTTTGCTGAGATTACGAAGGAAGGATTTTTTAGTTTTTTGTTGGCACAGTTCGATGGAATACTGGGACTTGGGTTTCAAGACATTGCTGTTTGGAATGTTACGCCAGTGTGGTATAGATCTTTCATCATCTTACTATAAATTTTACGTTACCTAGTCTTTTTGTATAGTTTTGGCATAATTTGATTATTTAGTGTACTACTGCATGACTGAGAAGATAAAAAGGATCTTTCTCTGTTTTGGATATATCCTTCTTGCTTTGGATTGCTTGAAACAAAATTGTATTATGATCACAGGTATAATATGGTGCAACAAGGTCTTGTGAGCCGGAAACTCTTCTCTTTCTGGCTTAATCGAGATCCAAAGTCAAAGGTGGGAGGTGAAATTGTATTTGGTGGCATTGATTGGAGGCACTTTAGGGGTGATCACACTTATGTTCCACTCACTCGAAATGGTTACTGGCAGGTGTATGAGATTTGGAAATTTTGTTGTTGTATTATTTGGTTTATTTCTCTCATTTATTTTTCCAAAGGAGTTGCTACTTAACATCATACCCATTAACCTTTTTCAGATTGAGGTGGGAGATATTCTTATTGAAGACAATTCAACAGGTGATTAGATTTTTAATCCACATGGTTTTTATTATTTTATCCTTTCATATATATATATTTTCTTTTACTTTGAAAGATAATATGTACTTTTGGGAATGTTATGTAAGGGCTGCGTAATCAGTAGTAGTTTTCCTCGCTTGCTAGTGAATGATCTCAGACATTCACTTACTAAAAAAAAAAAAAAATTGGTTATTTACTGAAAGAACGAAGAGAAAATAAAGAGGAGAGGAGAATATAATAGAAGATGAGAGTGAGAAGTTAGAAAATTTTGATCTGTTTGACTACGGAATATTAAGGGGAAGAAGTGAGGAAGAGAAAGATGGAGCTCACTCAAGCTCTATTTATGAATTCTACATTGAGCTTCAACGTTTTACTTCATACAAAACCATTCAAAGTCACCTAGCTTTTATTTTTATTTTTTAAAATCCTTCAACCCGCCCCTTCACACGTGGCCTTCTTTTGATCCAACACATGTATATCAATTTTTATTACCAGGGTGATAGTGTGGTTTGAACACAGGACTTTGCCTATTGTGATACGATATAAACCACCATCTACTCTAAAAGCTTAAGCCATTAGAGAAAGTGTAACATAAATATTTAAATCCTTCACCAGAAGGTAATGCTATGGGAAGTGAAGACCAAAGTTAATGCGAGTAGAGTTAGTAAGGAAAGATACGATAACATGTGGTTGACAGAGGTTATGGCCTTAGTTAAATTGGAATGCAATAATAGGATTCATGTAGCCAACTCCAAGTAGTTGGGAAAAGGCTATTGTTTTTTTTTTTTTTCTCACACATTCACAAAATATTTTCAGGTCTTTGTCTGGGTGGCTGTGCTGCCATAGTGGATTCAGGGACATCCTTTATTGCTGGTCCAACTGTATGCATTCACGCCTTAAAATCTTCTTCTTCTTAACTGACTATTCTTCTAATCAATTTTTGCTAGCCCTATTTCAGACCATTGTGACTCAAATCAACCATGCCATTGGAGCAGATGGAGTTGTGAGCTTGGAATGCAAAAATGTTGTTTCTAAGTATGGCAATTTGATATGGGATTATTTAATATCAGGGGTTTGTTAATTTTCCTTCTATTTTTTCTTAACAATAATATCAATTTTTTTTTTTTTGTGAGCAAATGAAGAAATATTTCTGACATTTTGCTTCTCCTGCCAGCAGTTACAACCTGAAAAAATATGTGTGGAGATCGGACTATGTGTATATAATGGAACTCAGTATGTAAGGTGAGGCTGTATTTCTTTTGGTAGATGGTCTCATTTGAATGTTTAATCTTGATCCTAGTAACATGAATGAATCTATATATAGTGCTGGTATTGAAACAAATGTGGAAAGTCAAAATACAAGGGGTTTATCAGTTGATGAGAATGCTTTCTGTGCTTTCTGTGAGATGACTGTTTTTTGGATCCAAGTAGAGCTTAAACAACAGAAAGCCAAGGAAAAAGTATTCAAATTTGTTAATGAGGTGATACTATTTTGTCTAACAATCGAACATATTTATTCGATCTTTGTTCAGATACTATGGTTACTTGCACTAACAATTCTCCTCCTTACTGATTGAAGCTGTGTGAGAGGGTCCCGAATCCTAGAGGAAGATCGTTTATCAATTGTGATAAAATTGATACCATGCCATATGTTTCATTCACGATTGGAAATAAATCGTTTCCCCTCTCTCCAGAACAGGTGTGCTTTTCTCGACAACCTGTTCCTTCAGCATTTATGTTTTCATATAATTTATTCAGAAGAAGCAAGCATGGCAGCGAATCGTTGTCTCTTTGCAATGATGGAGGAATTAAGGTTTCAACCAACGAAAACAATAGGTTGACACTAGACTGCTTTTTCTGGTTTTCACAACGACGATCTGCCTGCTGTTGTGAAACAAAATTATCAAGCCATATGGGCTCTGTTTTTTCATTGTTGTGTGCTAGCTAACTTAAAATTGCTCAGATATGCTTGCTACTTAGAATAACAAGAGGCAAAATTTCATTAGAAACCTGGAATGGAAACTTTGGTCAATTATTTCTTTTTATTTTTTAAAAAAGGGAAAAATAGCAAAGCTTTTCAAGTTTGTGAATCCTTAGAAGCATTTTATTGTTTTCGAAATTAATATTTTTCTGTTTGTGGCATTCTTCTAGTATATTATGAAAATTGAAGAAAACTGTTCTAGCATCTGCTTTAGCGGGTTCGTTGCTTTGGATGTGCATTCCCCACAAGGCCCCCTCTGGTATGTCATTCTATTTTGTTGTCCTGACCTTGATTAGTGTATGGATTAACCATATATGGAGGTCTATGAAGTTATTACTCTTACCCCCCAAAACTTGTTAGTAACCTCTAATGACCCGTGCATAAGCCTTTCATTCTTATAGTATCTCCTAGTTCAAAATTCTTTTATTTGTGAATCTACCTCAGTTTAAGATCTTTTATTTTGAAAATGTCCCTGTGCCAAGTTAAATTATTTTCCTTTTCGTAACAAATATGATAATACATACTTAAATAATTTATTCGTATGTATTTTGAGAATTTATTTATGGTTTCATATTTTCTTTGAAGAAAATTAACCTAAACAGTCACCTCTATCATAAAAAGTTAATAGTAAATGTCCCAATAATTTATTTTTCAAAGCCTTATACTATTATAAGAAGGAAATAAGGTATGTATATATTTTAGAAGTTAAAACTTATGATGGTGACTGGTGCTCCTAATGTTTAATTTTTCAAACTACTTTAATATAAAAAGTTATGAACTTTTGTAGTATAAATCATTAAACTATTTTAAAGAATTTTTTTTAAGGTAGAAGTTTCTTAATGCTGCTACCTGCCTCCCTCTCAATGTAAAACCACTGGATTCACCACTGCATATGCAACTTTAATTTTCTTTTTGCAATTTGAGACTGCAAGTGCATGCGTATGAACAAATCTATAGTTTATGATATACATGAGTGTTGTTGGATGCAGGGTTCTTGGAGATATGTTTCTTGGAGCATACCACACAATATTCGACTTTGGTAATCTCCAATTAGGGTTTGCAAAAAGTGCTTAGAACCCATTCAATTCTCTTGTTCTAGTCAATAAGCCAAGGCTATGTTAATTGTAAAAAAACATGGTAATCTGCTGGGACAGTCAGTCTCACAAGTATGTGTATGTAATATTTTTTAGTTGAATGTCGATTATTAGGGCTTTGTTAATGTAAAGGTAATTTATATATCTATGGAATAAAAATGCATGCTATACAATACAAGGAGATGCACATGTTTTTCAATTTTCTCGAGAGTAAAAATGCATTGGAGTAAGAAATGAAGTGAGTTCTTAAAACTGCTCTAGCTTGTAGCTAATCATGAAACAGAAAGTAAAAATGAGTATTTGAGTGTTGTTGTAACACATAATTTAATGTTGCTTTCGGAGCACTAAATCGGTGTTTGGAATTTGAGATTGAATTAAATTTTGTTAGAAACTAGTGTTTCAAGTGTGAATGAAACTTGTCTACAACTAATTTATAGTTAGGTGCCTATGTGTATCATGTTAGACTACAACTTGAATATCTTAGTGTAAAGGTTGCATGCAAAATCGAATATTCGGGTTATTTAACACGACCTATACCGATTTTTTAACATATTCTTAATGTTTAATGTGGTTGAGAATTGGTTAGAAACGGTTAATAAACTGAAATGATGCATTGGATTATAATACATGCATGAATGGATGTGTTGGTTGAAAAGGTACAATTAACATAACCTATTAAATATGAACCATTGCAAGCTTTTGGAGTGGATGTGTCTAGTGGTGAAAAGACACCATGTGAACCATTGCAACCTATTGCAATGGATGTGTTCAGTGTTAAAGAGACACACTCAATTCGAAAAAGCACTTCTATTTCTATAAATACCTCCTTAGGCTGCCATTTGCAATTGGTTCAATTAATTTTCTTCTCTTTCCCTCTCTAAACTTGAACCCAACCCAAGTGGGTTCAAACCATAGGTCAAGTGGTCTAAGCTACTTAGACCCCAATCCAATTTCATCGAGCCATATTAAGATTGATCTAAACCATTTGTTTCAAATTGCACCCAATTTAGCATTTATATAGTATAGATGCATTTTTGAGTCAGAGAGAGTATTACATGGAGGAGGTTCATCATATCCACGAGTTTGTAGTGCTGCTACTGGTGGATGTAAACCGTTGTATCCTGGGAGACAAGCGCCGTAGAGTTTGTCAGCACCATACGGGACGTAAATTAGCTTAAGGACACAGAATTCAATACTAGCCTCTATCCAGATTATTTATTTATTATTATTATTTTATTACTTTAATTTGCATGTTTAATTAAATATCGAGTTGAATATTTAATTAATTATTTTTTAGCATATTATTAATTATCTCATGGCATATTAGTATAAGTTTAGTTATATCTTAAATATCTTCTGAAGCATATATTTTCCAACAAATTTAAGTCTAAATTTTAACTAAATTTCTTTCGATTTAAAAAGCTAAACTGCCAATTTGATGCTCCGAAATATAGCAAAAGTGTTTTATAATGTTCTTGGACAAAGTGCTTCAAAAAGTTTCTAATATTAAACTATATGAGTGTTCTTTGTATTTCACTCTTAAAAGAAAGAATTATGGAGCATTACAACACTCAAATACTCATTTAAGGAACACTTGTATTCCAATATTAAGAACCTTTTTGCACTCTTTTATTTTAGAGCCTTTATAATCAATATTAGTAGTTTGGAATAAATAATAATAACACCACGAAGGGTGTTTTTGTTTTAAAATTTTAATTTCACTTTTGCCCTTTTTTACTTTGAAAAATTATTACATAGTCATAAAATGGATAAATTACACTCATACCCCTTGAGGTTAGGTTATACTTTAGCTAAATGAAGATCGATTTTGGTTTTAAATTTCACTTATATTTGAATGAGTGGTTTAGCATTTCACTTGTTCCCCAAATGTCAATTTTTGGCAGGGTCAGAGTACTCTTGAGGTGTTAAATGACTATGCTACCCTTTGACCACGTGTTGACTATTTTTGTAGCCAAACGAACCCCAACATACCAGGAAAGGGAAAGGAATATCCATATCAGCCAAATACTTCACACATAAGCCATCTTCTCTCTCCTCCAATCTCTCTGTGCACAGACCCATCCTGGTGATACCAATCACCCTTTGGCACCATCAACGCAGGATCAGCACCATTTTCTTCACCTCTAGCCTAGCAAACCAGAGACAACAACCACAAACCCAATAAGAACCACATCAACAACAATAACCCAGATTCCCTAGCTCTCATCCTAACCAGCATCACCTACGACCGTTCAACCAATTTAACTCCAGCGGCATGTAATATTTCCCATTTTTCCATTTTCCATTTTTCAGGTATTTTTAAATTTTTTTCGAATTTATTTTTTTTATTACATCGTTTTGGGTGCCACGCGGGCCTCGAGGGTCATTTTAGTCATTTTCTCGAGCCAAGAGCCTATAAGTGTATTATAATTATTTTAAGTCAATTAAGTTGATGGAATCAGTTTTATAATTTTTTGGAAGTCGGGACAATTTCCGGACTCGAGAACTTCTCCCGATTTTACCATTTTTATTGAAAAATGCTATTGGAATTTCACCCACATGTATATATATCTTTATCTATGTTTTAGAAGAGATATTTTAGGGGTTTTGTGGGCAATGTTATAGAAGGAAGAAGGTATGTTAGTAATTTAGCCAAAAGTTATATTCATTGGTAGCTTGACATGTGACCCAATGGGAACCATTCATAAGTTGGCAAGATAAGCCAACCCATCCATTTCCCCTTCATTTTTGGCAATTCCCTTTCCCTTTCTATCTTTCTCCTTTTCTCTCTCTTTATATTTCTACATCTAAACATATATATATCTCCATAGATTAAAGCTTAGTTATGAGGGGTTTAGAGTGGGAATTTAGAGATGATCAAGAAGGAGATGTTGGAGAGCTCGGGGAAAGCTTCCATTTGCCACCCATATTGCTAGGGTTTAGGAGAATTTTGAATTTGGCTTAATCTATGGGCTTGTTTGGTTGTTCCATTTTGAGGTAGAGTTGTCTAACTTGCATATTCCTCTAATTTTGTAGTTGAATTTATGTTTTCCCTAATTTTTACATGCCAATTTGATGTCAATTTTGTGGTAGCATGTTGGGGCTTTATGAATTTGATGATGTATGTCAAATCGTTAGTTGTTATGTGCTAAATGGTGGATATGTGATGAGAAATTACAATTGTTAAATGACTATGTGACTAATTGCAAGGAAATATGTTACTTGATGTTAAATTGACATTTCTAGTATTCTTAAAATGAATGCCAAGTATGCAATGTGTAGTAGAAATTGCCAATGTGAAGGTTAAATTGTAAAACTTGTGCTATTGTGGCTTTGATGATCATAAGTTTACTTGTAGAATAATTGTATCATTGTCAATGCCATGTATATTCATAATTTGATGATTGTGTAACAATTTATGTGGAGGTAAAATTACGGCTATAAGTGGACAATGATGACTATTGAAGTTTGTGGACTATTGTGAGCATAGCATTAATATTGTTGCATTGGCATTGAGTATTGGGTGTGTTGTGAGGGAAATTTTGGTGATGTGAATTGGAAAAGTTTTGAAGAAGTTTTGAGGAAAGGTTTTAAAAAAAGCCTAGTAGTTGGAGGGGTACTCATTTGCCGACGGTGCTAACTAGTTAATAGGGACACGGGAAGTACACGTGAGTAATTTAGCTACCTCGGGCCCCAAATGGTAGTTGGGAGTCACCTTTTGCTAGGAACGACTAGCAAATTCTCCCAAGGGACGGCGGAGGTACCAAAGTCCGGCTAGTTAATACCTTTTAGGTATGTGGATTGGGTGTGTGAGAGTGTGTGTGTGTGGAATGCATTGCATAAGCCATTTCATGCATTTCGTTATTTCAAATGGTTGATATTAGATTACTTGTTAATTATTTATGATGTGTGATCCCGACATAATCTCCATTCTCCTACTCTATTAATTGATATATCTAAGCATACGTTTCGCCTACTTAATTTTAGGAGATGCCATTTAGGCAATTTCTACTGGGGCTTGTGTTCATTCCTCTACATTTTTCAGGACACATAAAGGAAGTGGCAAACAACAATCCACTACAAGCTTAGTGGGGTTGAAAGAGACTTGGACTTCTTTTGTGCTTGATGTGTATATTACCTTTTTGTTGTAAATTATATTAGGTGTCATTTTTGTATCTATTCCATGGGTAGAAATGTTTCTGAGACCATCCTCTTATATCTCGTGGTCTAATTATGATTTCGAAATCCATATAAGGCCTTAAGGCCATATTTTGACATTTTACGGACTTGTTTAACTTTAAATGATGTAATGGACTCATTTATGATTTATATGAATGTAAGGATGCCTAATTATGTTTTATTCACTGTCAAATGTATTGTTTGAGACAGGTTTAGACTTTAAATAAGGTCACCAAAGGATTAAGGGGGTGCTCGATCATGTGCACAAGTGCTTAATTTTAGGCTTTTCTGGGCATTTTCAGGATTCTGGTCTTCTAGAACCGGTTCAAAGGTGTAATTGGTTCACGTTTGGGAACTGTGCCCATGTTGAATTGGTTCAAGAAATCTGGAGCCGGTTTTAGTTCCCCAGTGTACTTTTTGACTTTCACAGTTTGTCAGCTTGGATCACCTAACTTCAAGCGGTAATAACTTCTTCGTTTCTATTCCAAATGGGGCCATTCTTAAGTCCATTCTCAAGGTTTTTGAGTCAGCTTTCCAATGAAACCAACCTAATATTCAAATTCCATTAGTGATAAGAGATATAGTTGTTTTAGTGAGACAGTGTTAGGAATCCCCTTGAACTGAGTATGGGCACTTTTGGACAATCATAACCAATAACCGTAGAACCTCTCGAATGTCATGGAATGACTAAGATAATCACTATAAACTTCATTTGACTAGCTTAAGGATAGATTATCCATAATTATTTTAAAATAACCGTTTTACCCCTAGTGTGTCTTTGGGTTTGGATAATGACCCAATTAGCGATTCGGACCCCTAGGTTCAGGTTGTTACAAACTTGGTATCATAGCCTTAGGTTCAAAAACCTAAGGACGACAAGTAGGGTTGACCTAGCTGGGAGTCGAAACTTGGATGGTTAGCATTGTATGCTTATGTGTTAATTACTTGTTGTGTTAAAACATACTTGATTATTTCATGATAAATGATAATAGTTATGAAATAATGCCATGGTTAAAACTTTTAA